GAGGCGTGCCTCTGAGCGCGTGCAGAGGGCGCGGGGCGGCCGTTGGGAGGAAGGAGAGTCCCTGGGCATGTGCAGAGCGTCGGGACCCTCCTCTTTAGCGGGGCAGGCAGGGAGGCGTCTCCCGAGGAGGGGCGGAAGGCCCAGGTGTAGAGAAATCCGCGCGCCCCCCTTCTGTTTTAGTGGTGAGGTGAGCTGCGGGAAGCCCAGGGTTCCTGAGCGTGTGCAGAGGGCCTCTGTTGCCCTCCCCCGCATCTTTCACTGAGCGGCTGTTCACTGGGGCAGAGGGGTCTCCCGGGGAGGAGGGGATCGGCTTTTTATCAATTTATTCGTTCTTCAAATGTACACAGCCGCCTATCTCATACACGTATGACTCCCTGGACGGCTTACAAACCATTGAAACAAATATAAAAGCACAAAAAAGAACAATACAACCGTTAAAAAAAACCCAGGAAAAAACCAATATGTAGAAAACCATCCTAAAAAAAAATCATAAAATTCATAGCCAAGGTAATCGCATCTAACCATAACGTGCAGTACAATCACTTGCCCCCATGGCTTTCTGGAGCACATGCGGGAAGACGAGTAGCGGGGCCCCTCTGCTGAAAGGGCCCGGGACCCAGCGCATCTCTCGGGTAGGGCCAATTCGCCCTTTGGGGTGGCTGTGTTAGGACTGCCAGAGACACTGTAATCACCTCCCTCTGGAGAAGATTGATCGAAAGTCCCACAGGGCCAGCCAAGAGGCAGCCCCTAACTCTTCCCCAGGATTTGCACAGCTGTGTCTTTTGGTCCCCTGTCCCTTTCCTGGCTTAACACATGGGCTTGAGCTCCATGCTGCACTGCAGTCAAGAAGGGCACAGCTCTTTCTCTGGGGTTCTTCTTTCCATTTTAATATTGTCTGTATTTAAAGAGGGGAAAAAAAAACATCCAGAGGAGAACATCTATAGAGAGGCTGGAGCACCATAAAAAAAGGCTGTGACATTGCAAAGGCCTGGGTGATATAGTGTAGTTATAGCTCAAAAGTTGTGAACCAAACCTATCCAAATCATAAATCTAGAATATGGTAGGTAGTGTTCATAAAGTGTTCATTGGAAAAATGTTGATGGATCTCCTTTTGTTTACATTCCTTTTTAATTATGAGAGGAAACCAATTTGGTTTTCAAGTATAATCATAAAATATATCTTAAATAATTGTTCATCACAATGTCTGTTTTTATGTCTTACCCTGCTTTATGTAAAGCAAATATCTTAATAATGTAGGAGAACATTACATTGCATGTTAACAACTGTGTTTAAATTTTAAACACCCTAGGCATCATTGTTTATCATTTTATATTTATTTCATATCCATTCAAAGATTATTGTCTTGGAAATAATTGGGAATACAATGCTTGGAATGTATCTTGTTGCTCTGTTTGCTTATTATACTTATCAAATGGGACATTTTGAATTGTGCTCATCCTGATATTTCCTTTTTTCGTGCATTCACTCTTTCTTGATCACTGTTGCCGTACCCATTCCTTTTGCAGACATTTGCTTTCTCTTGTTATGAATATCTACTTGCTTTCTATATCTTCATTACAGATTTTAATTTTTGTTTTTAAATTGCATTTACATTAAGAGATGAAAGGAAGTAGTATCTTAATCTGATAGTAGTTTTTCACCTGCCTTCCACCCCTTTTTTTAAAAAAAAACAAAACTCTATTTGTATAGAG